GAGTGAGTGAGTGAGTGAGTGAGTGAGTGAGTGAGTGAGTGAGTGAGGGAGTGAGGGAGGGAGGGAGGGAGGGAGGGAGGGAGGGGAGAGAGAGAGAGAGTGAGAGTGAGAGTGAGAGTGAGAGTGAGAGTGAGAGTGAGAGTGAGTGAGTCATTGAGTGAGTGAGTGACGGATGGCAACAATGCCTCTTGGAAGAGGAAGCAGGGTGATGTGCCCCATAGGGGACCAATACACCTGAAGAAAGGCCATGGCGCCATCACTCCTGCTGACCGAGAACGAACCTTTCAAGCAACTGGCGTCTCGGCCTCAGTGCGTTGGCGTGCTCAGTGGGGCGAACGCTGCTTGTCTCTAAGCGGCCCAGCTACTCTCAATGCTGGAAGTCGCCTCGATTTGTAAAACTCAACAGATTTAGCTTGGCGGTAATGTCCCAGCAAGTCGCAGCGATTCGCAGTTACTTGGGGGAGAGACACTAGTTTTTGCTTCAGACCTATGATCTGAAAGTGGAAATTCTAGAAATAGCTGCAGGACAACTGTTCAGGTCAACTGTTTTTTAGTGGTTCTGTGGTTCCATTTGTTTTCACTAAAGCCGCAGTTACATGGGGATTCAAATTTATGCCACTCAAAATCTTGTGCGACAGGCAGTTGGGACTTGGTCTCCTAAATTTCCAGGAACAATGTAACAAGCTCCTGACTAAATGTAAGGTAATGGAATGTGAACATACATAAGAGAAAAAGACACAAACAATGTAAACCATGAAGAAGGCCACACAAAAAAGGAAAACACTACTGTGGTTTGTTGAAGTCGCTGCGGTGTTCTCTGGAGACACACGTGTAAACAACTGATTCTGGAGAGTTGTGTGATTGCTGCTGCTAATGGCTGCAGTGAGATTCTTTCTCGAGCATCAGTGCTGCTGTATGCGCCATGCCGAAACGCACATCAGAGATTGTGGCTTTTTTCCTCACTGCCATTCTGCCAAACCTGCAGAAAGCAAATTCAATCATACAAACACTCTGAGGAACTGTGCCGAGGACGCGCTATCCTGGCTGGAGCACCATTGGCCCAAAGAGAAGAGAGGTAAACTACGTCCAGTACTGAAGTTTTTCATAGATGAAACCAAAAAGGATGTGAAGAAAACACAGCCGTTGTGCCACCTGTTGACAGTCCGCATTGAGAAGAAAGGCATTTTGAAATCTTCCCAAGGAAGACACATGTTCATCAATGCATGGGCCGAAAACAGGTCCAAAAGATTTGTGGCAAAGCCACAGATTGCAAGCAAGAAACTTGGAGTTGCGAAGAAGTAGCTCTGTTGTGTAGGAAAAGAAACAAGCAGAGCTGGTGGGGTTTGACCGTGATTTGTTCAGGACATATTCTGGATATAACCTTTTGTTACCAGATCCTGGAAAGCATTTTTTGGCAAACAACATGCATCATCCTCTTGATGTTCCACCTAGAATCATCGCAGTTACATGGGGGAACCTTCTCATAGACTTGAAACACATGTCTTTCTGTACATGTCCGAAACATGCTAGACTGCATGTAACTGACACAGTTGAGGTGACTAAAACGCATCCCAAGAACAAAAAGTTAACAAAATCATCGCAGTTACAGTGGCGCAAATTGTTGAGGTGACTTTTTTGAGAGTTGATGCGCGGAGTTCTATGGGGGAGAACATACCTGGAGGAAGTTGATGCAACTTTCGGCGCTGACAGTACATCCCTGACCACTGCCAAAAGGCTTGCAGAAGAGGCCATCGAGGCCAATGGTGACCAGGGCAGAGATGATGGGAGGGATGGAGACCCTGAAGAGCAAAAATGTTGAGCTCAGGCAGAAGCTATATGAGCCACCGCTAGAATCACTAGAAGCTTCCTTGGTCTTCTCTTTGATCTTCTTGGACACTGCCTCTGTTTCACATGTCCTGCTGTGTGGTTGGAGCTTCTGGCGGTGTCTCCTCTTTTTCTTGTGTGGCTTTCAATGAAATCATCCACAGTCACCTTCGTTGCTTGATGATGATGAAAGTAGACGATGACGGACGACCACAGCGCTAACGCAAGGCAGCAGTCAGCGCGGGTACACCGCCACGCACAGCAGCATAAATCCTTAGATACCCGCCCCCCCCCGCGGCACCACCATAACGGTGATCGAGCATCTCCTTGCGTACCCGCCCCAGGCGGGACAAAGTGTCAGAATGGCCGCCAACAGGCGGCCAGCCCAACACGGCTTCAGTAAGATCCGAAGGTTCCGTTCGGTTGGGGTTCCGCACAGGACAATCCCAAAAGAGATGTTTCCGATCCCCTGGAAAGAAATTACAAAATGGGCAGCAACCACTCGGTTTGGTTTCTGACCGAGCAGTTTGGTGAAACCGCATAGGGCTAATGAAGCCACCACACAAAATGTTCACTTCGTGAGCATTGCCTCGGTGCGCCGCAGCAGCCGCAGCTTTGATACGACCAGAGTCATAGGGAACATTCCGCAACGCCGCAGAGTCCTTTCGATCCTGTTGTAAGAAACAGTTCCACATAGAATATCTCCAGCTCTCCCGGAGGAGATGTCCGAAGTGGTCTTTGCTGTTTGGAAATTCTGAGTGTCGTGGTGCAAGAGAAAAACGTAGGTTGAGTGGGATGTGCTTCCACAGCCATGGCCTGGGGCTCGACCAGCCTAAGGAGGCCAGAAATTTTCGTACTCGTTGGACGAAACCACCCGCAAGGCCCCAGTCTGTGGCGACCTTCATTTCAAGACGTTGACTGCGGTATAGGGCGAGACTCGCCAAATAGCCAGCCATGAACATTGAACTGGTCGTGTGACCCAAGAGCAAGTGGGTCAGAGGCACCGACGCGGACCTATGACCGAAACCAGCTGCTCGAAGTCGACTGTCAAGTTGTGTGCAACTGCGCAGGGGAGGAGCTCGCAGTGCCCATCCGTACGTAGCCTTTGTGGTCACAGCGGATGCAGCAAGGAGGAGACGTTCTTTGGCCAACACAGGAGCAACTTTGAGTTTTGCGGCAGTCTTCAAAGCGTTGGAGAACCGGTCGCTGTCTTTTTTAGTGGGTTTGCACCCCAGAGGGGTGAAAGAAACACCTAATGCCACCAGGGCGTCCTTCGCCCACGGAGCCGTCTCAGGGTCACTGCGGATCTGAAACTGGCCGTCTTGTGTGCGTGAGAAGATTTGTGTTTTAGCCAAATTTTCTCTGAGGCCAAGGCATGCAGAATGGTTCTTCCAAGCTTCCCAAATGCTCTTTCCAGTCTCAAGGGACTCAGCAGAAAAGCTTCGATCATCCATAAAGACTGAAAGTACACCAGTAGGATGGAGACGGCGAATGACCGCTGTCGGTGTTCGTAAAACCACGTTCATAGCCCAGGGGCTCAACGGATCACCCTGCGGAACGCTACTTGCCACATGGCAGGGAACCGGAAAACTCTCGCCTTGCCATTGCAGCACGCGGCGCTGAGAGCTCCAAATCTTTTGGAAGGCGTTGGCAAGGAGAGGGGGGAACCCGAAATGAGTCAGACTCCTCAGCGCCACTTCAGGCCTCAACCTGTCAAACGCTTGAGAGAGATCTAATGACCAAATGAAATGTCCCTGAGCTTGAGCCGAAGCGAGGGGAACTACAGCTTGGAGACAGTCATATTTCTGACGGCATCCGTGCTGGACAGGATCCAAAACGGAATTAATCCAGTCCTGGGCTTGAGAAGTTCGGAGAAGGGCCCCGGTGTACATACGATACCAGACCGACATGACAGCAATGGGTCGCATTTTGCTAGCGGGCACGGCCCCATCACTAGACCGCGGGGCGTGAGATTTCATGAGATGGGCCTGACGAACCTCTCCCCAGATCTGGGGAAATGACCGAGGACCTCAAACCATCCGAACAAGACCGCAATATCGCGCCACATGCAAGAAGGGAAAAGGGAAACTTCAGTTCCGGTCCACCCGTCTGTCCCGCCTGATTTATGCTTCTGGCGGCGGGCGCTTTTGATACTTTCAGTGTCAACCGGCGCCCAGCATTCAGGGTTTCTCGCCGGGATGTCCCAAAGCTGAAAATAATCTTCAGGCAGCATTTCATTTTGACTGCGTTCTCGGTCCCAAACAGTGGACCAAAAGGATTTGATTTTTTCGAGGGCGTCTTGAGTGGAGACCGCGGCCGGCTCCCCTAACCCTAACTCACCTTCATCATTGAAAATCGTATGAGTAGGGGGGGACTTCACTCTTTTGAGCCAGGCAAACACTTCCTTTTGGGATCCGCGGAGTCTGTTTTCCCAGTGGCGGATC